GGGAAATGTCATTCTTTAGGTGTGAGGCCACTTCAGAAGCCAGTTTGGCATAATCAATCGAGCAGAGGGGCTGAGAAACAATCATCTCACCTTCCGTTTCTTCAGTGGCACTGTGTGGCGTTAGGTCAGCCAGCGCCATCTTGGCTGCAGCGTGTTCCCCCTCCATATGTTCTGTCAGCGATCTCCTAGCAGCCTGAGGATGGGACACGAACTTGGCCATGGCGGGCAGCGGGGGCGAGTGATCCGGTCGGCTGTTCGTGAGCATAGGAGATGGTGGAAAGAGGCACTTTAGATGTGTGGCGGGACGGAGTGCTCGGAGATGCCGCTATCTCATCGTGCGGCGGAACCCGGAAGTCACTATGTTTTTTAAAAGGCAACTTCTTTGCTAGTTTTTAATTGCTTTAATTGTGTTATTAGGTAATAGTTTTCTTGCTGGAAATGCTGTTTTCTATACTTTATTAAATTTCTCAGAATACATTGAATGCAGCTGGGCAAATGCCAAAGCAACTGGGTCATTTTCATCTTCACACAATTCGTTCATGGATACACTGCAGGAAAAGATCAAATACAAATAGGTTGCAGATATTATCAATTAAACATTTTGGAAATGGAAAATACTAAATCAGATCAATTCGATTTAAAAAAAAAATTCAAAACATTTATGACATTGTTTTAACCGGCTCAGGTGTGGCACTACAGCTCAAAATACATAACAGAAGAATGTCAGTAATATGCTGTTGTATTTCCAACAGTACTGAGTGTAGATTAACCCCTTCATGACTGAGCTTGTTTTCAGTTTCTGTTCATAAATGACTGACATACTTTTTACATTTTTGCTGTGTGATTCTTCCACGGCTGTAATATACTTTCTTACTAAATGTACCCACCCATATTATATGTTGTTTTTAGAGGACAGATAGGGCTATATAATTATATCCAGCATGTGTACCTAACACCTCACTTAGTTTGAATAAAATATAAGAAAATGAGAAAAAAACATTTAGCGATCCGGTATTTGTATGTAACAGCTTTATTCTTTCATTAATGAAAGAAAGAAGCTTTTACAAAAACTTAACTATTTCAGTAATGAATGCCTAAATTCATTACAGAGCCTTAAATAACTTCACGTACAGTGTACGTGGCCAGTCATATAGGCACTTCGTAGTGGGATGTACAGTGTACTTCTCCCATCACGAAGGGGTTAATGAGAAAAAGAATTTAAACAACTGTAGTATCAGGCTGCAACATAACAAAATAGAAAATAGTGTAAAACTGTCATGGATGCAACCTGTATTAGTGCCCATTAACACTTGAGTGTGTGCTTTGTCATGCATTTTTTTGCATGTTTGTACACACGTGTTTTGTGCATATTTCACATGTTTTTAGACTTGAGCATTTTTGTTTCAACCAAAGGAAAGCCACATACTTGTTAGGCGCAAAATTGTGTGAAAAATGCGCATTACGTAAATTTTTCAGATGCCCCTATTGAAGTCTAAAAGGGGCAAAGAGCACATGATTTTTGCTCAAAAAAAGCTCATCTACTTTTTCACATGACAGGCAACACAATGAGGACCATTGAATATAATGTTAAGCGTTATCGCTCATGTGTGAATAGGGGCTTAAAGGGAACCTGTGACCAAACTATGCACACAAAATTATTTACATATTCTGAACAAGTAGTAAAAGCACTTTAACCACTTGCTGACCGGGGTGTTTATAACCCCTTCCTGTCCAGGCCATTTTTCAGTATTCAGCACTGCAGTACTTTGACATTTATTCCGTCATGCAACGCTGCACTGAAATTAATTTTATACCTTTTTTGGGGGACAGATAGAGCTTTCTTTTGGTGGTATTTAATCACCACTGCGGTTTTTATTTTTTACTATATAATGAAAAAAGTACCAAAAATTTCGAAAAAACAAAACTGTTTTGCCTACGTTATGTTATAAAAAATGTCTTATTACCCAAATTTTTGGCAAAATATAAAAGACGGGGTCACGTCGGGTAAATAGACACCAAACATGTCAAGCTTTAAAATTGCGTGCGCCCGCGAACCTCGCAAAAACTACCATACCCAAAATTGGCCATAGGCGACGCTTTAAAAGCTTTTACCGCTCATCAGTTTGGTGTTATCAGTGATTGATGGCCCTAAAATTATTGCGCTCACTGCGACGTTTGCGGCAATATGTAACATGTGCGGCGTAATGGATGCAATCGTCGTTTCCGCACGTAGGCGCATTTGGGGGGGGGGGGGACTTTAAAACAAATTTCATTTTTTGAATTACCTTTATATGTGACTTTTAATTTTTTTAATATTTTTTCTGTAACTAATTCTTTTAAACCTTTTTTTTTTACTTAACTTTATTGCTATCACATAGGGAACTAAGAAGCCCCCTTTGTGATAGCCAATTTTTAGTGGCAGATACTCTTTATGGAGACATCAGGGGTCTTTAAGACCCCTAATGTCACCTAGGGACCCCCAGAGAAGCTGATGAAGGAAACACCTGCTTCACCAGCTTCTCTCCGGTTTCTGTACCGGAGAATGACAGAGGAATGCGGAAGTGATGTGATACACATCACTTCCTGCATTCCAAAGAGGAGGAGATCATTAAACTGAGATCGTGTACTGAGCTCCGTTTGATCTCCGGCCGCAGAGCTGCTGTGCTGGTCACGGGCTCACACTGGGCACAGCGGAGCTTGGCATCGCCAGCAGCGGCTGCAACGGAGGGGGCGCACACCCACACGCATATTACAAGCCATCAGGCGTCTCTACAGACATTACAGGCTGATTTCCTGCTCGTGCCCGCCACCTAGTGGCGGGCACAAGCGGGGCGGGATGGGACGTTTAAAAACGCCCACCCGCATTCAAGAAGCTGCTGTTTGGCCGTTTAATTACCTTACCTTTGTAGCTACAGTCATTGTGGAAAAAGTCATCATCAACGTTAACACAGGCACTGAAATGGTTAGAAACCTTTGATGTGATCATGGAGGATCTTTGAGAATACATAACTTCACATTAAAAGCAGCTAGAGAGGTCAGGGATGGCTTTCTTTTAAATTGATTTTTACTGCTTGTTAACAATATGTCTATACTTTAATACCTACAGTCTGGGCACAGGTGCACTTTAGAATGTAAGTTAAATAAACATATTACTTAAGCAATAAAAATTTTATACAAAATATGTAAACATGTAGACTTAGAAAATACAATAATAACAATAGCTTTCCTTTAACACAATATAAATAATTCCTTACCTAATGGATGCAATGGTTAGCGTGAAATCTTTTAGCTTGCGATATGCATCACCAAGGTTAAGCCTATGAAATACAAGACACAGTTTTCATTTTGTTTTTAATATACTGTATAAATGTATACTGTATAAAAGGTATCTGATAAAAGGGGCATGACCCCGGAAACGCGTCATCATCACAGCCTTTCTTGCTGGCACACAGACACGGTTGTGCAGCTATCACTGGCATCTTCCTTGGTCCATGTATTTACTTACTATGCTGTAACCATGTCGACCTTTGTGAGTATGTTTCTCATTCACTATTGCTTTTATCTTAAATAAATTTGTCTGCACCAGGAAAGGCGCCCCTTGTTTGTGCTTTTACTACTGTATAAATGTTGTTAAAGTAAAACTGAGCAGATCCATGGACTTAATAGGCATCATATTCATGTCTGCTGTCAGCAAATACTAACATGTAGAGGCCAGTACTATAAAAAGCTTAGGAGAGAGAAGGATTTGCCAAGCATGCATGGGATGAAATGGAGGCCTCAGATCTCTAATATTAGAACCAATGTAAGTGACTTTTAGGACATGACTTGCAAAACCTAAGCCCCAAAACACTCAACACAATAAGATCAACGGCCAGCTAGGGAGGCCTGCTTGTATTTGATGCATGTGACCTATGTAATAAAGCTAAAAGACTTTTAGTTAGACTTTTGCTGCTTAATATCCTTGACTTAAAAGGTATGTAAAGCCCAAACTTCTTTTTTTTCCCATTTTGGATAGAACCTAAAAAGGTAAGTGTCCTATTGTGTTTTCCTGGCCATATCCATGGCAGCGCTGACAAATGGGTTTAGATCCAATTACCCATTTGTCAGCGCTGCCATGGAGTATAACCAGGAAAAGAAAATTACGGTAAGTATGATTAAATTTTCCGTTTTCCTGGCCATATCCATGGCAGCGCTGACAAATGGGTAATTGGATCTAAACCCATTTGCCCAGCGCTGCCATGGAGTATAACCAGGAAAAGAAAATTACGGTAAGTATGATTAAATTTTCCGTTTTAATTGCTGTCTGTGTCACTGCTGGGGAGATTTACCCTCTGCCAGGAATGAAAGTAAGGGAAAATATAAAATGCATTACATTTTATATTTTAATTTTGTTCTACTTAGCATTATTGTTATCACAATAATTGACAAAGCTTCATATGTGGTTGTATTGTGCAGGTGACAGGCACTCTTTACTAGACCCATGATATATATATCCCCTGCAATCTTTCACAGCACATCTCCTCCTTTCCTATCCATAGCAGCTGGCATCTGACAACTCTGAACTGAAAGTGCTCAGAGATAAGCGTTTTCAGGTTCAGTCACTGCAGAGGACATCAAGAAGTGAATGTACCCAATCTCCTCCATCCTGAGGGTAGTTTTGTGATTCCCGGGCTCTAGAAGAAATTAGGTGAGTCTGGGAAACATAGTGGTGGGGGAGGTTGAGGAGCAGGGGACCACACTTTTCGCACTGTAGAACCAACATCTGTATTAGTCCTGAGCAGAGCAAAGCAAAGCCATACATCTAAAAATCAACAAACTGGCTTATTTACATACAGCATGATGTGAACACTGCATGAGTTAGGATGCTCTATGCTATTAGCAGTAATTAAAGCATGTACATTAATCAAAATAATATCTTACTGCATTTCTTAGCATCCTTAGCAACATTATTACATGTTTTACTTACTATATAGTGCTAGTCTTTTATGTACAATGTACATTTACAGTGCATTTTGGACAAGTGCATACCCATTGTTATTGTGAAGGACTGTTAAGGATCCATGTTTGTAAAAATCGAAAGCGTAGGAGTTAAGAAAGGTTTTTCTTCCACAAATGTCTTTTGCCGTCAGATGGAATAAAGGAATATACTTTGTAGGTATTTGAACTGTTTGCAACATGAGCTGTGGAAGAATAACAACGTGATTTAGCATTTTTACTCACAGTTTTGTATAATCTAGTCTGAGGAGGCATAACGGTCACAGTGGCTAAAAAAAAAAGGGAGTATTACTTTTTGCTGGTTCATACTCAGAATAACTTCACAGATAGGGTCTGTCACATGTCCACAATACCCAGAAGCACTACCTGTGTTATTCACTAAAGGGTAAAGAGTTTGGAGAAGGCTGGAGAAGTAAATAATCTAGGACAACATAGCTGATCTGGAAAGTGAGTTGAATTGGAGAATTTTTCCAAATCAGCTATGTTGTCCTAGATTGTACACTTCTCCTGCCTTCTCCAAACTCTTCATCCTTTTGTGAATAACCCTGTTAGTATTTTACAGCTGTAGGCACCAAAGGAATAGTAGGGGAAAATAAGTATAAGGTGGTAAGCAGGGACGGACTGACCAATCGGTCCGTCGGGCACTGCTCGAGGGCCCGCGGCCTTCAGGGGGCCCGTCACGGGCGCCGCATAAGGTGGGGTCGCTGCCGGCAGATCTAGCCACCGCCGCCACCGCATACTCCAGTTTGATAAATTCCTCTCACTGTGTTCTAGTGCAGTGCAGTGCAATCACAAAAAAATAGTGCATGCGATCACACCGCACTGGTACGCAGTGCATTGAGGTACCACATGTTACAGTGTGGGTGGGGGGCATGCCTGCAGCGCCATTGACATGAATGGAGCCACAACGCCCCCTCCCACCCCAGAATGAGCCTTTGTTTATGCGATCAGTTACGTTCATCCCATGAGACTGTGCGATGAACGCACTGGATAGTGTGAACGGGCCTGAGTGATAAACACACCTTCATAAGGTTGTTCTGGACACTGTTCTGCCATACCTGTCGATAGTTACCCTATCAGGCAGGGTGCTCGCAGTGACTGCGGATGGCACCGCAAATATCAGCAATTGTGTAGAGATGTCACCAGCACACCAAAATCCTTCTTAGGATAAGCAAATGTTCATTTATTGAAGTTCCTTGTCATATAAACAACTGTTGTTTATGTGACAAGGAACTTCAATAAATGAACATTTGCTTATCCTAAGAAGGATTTTGGTGTGCTGGTGACATCTCTACACAATCTCTAATCGGGCGGCTGCTCATTCCCAATTAGAGCCTCGGGAGGCCCCAGCGGACGGCCCTCTAACATGCCTGATCTGTGACACAAGAATTTATACAGGTGGGACTTGTGGGAGGGGCTTGTATATGGGTGGAGCACAAGGGGGCCCCATAACCATGTATTGCCGGGGCCCCATGTGTTGTCAGTCCGCTCCTGGTGGTAAGGAGGTGCGGGCTTTACACAGACCCAGTTAGTTTGTCTTAAATAGGCAATTGACAGGGGGTTTTTTTAATGTTTTTTTTTCTTTTTTTTTTTACTGCCTGCCTTAATTAGCAGTCATATCAATAAAGGTAATTGGTAATATGTAATGTATTACATTTTCACAGGCAACTAGCAGGGGAGGTTCTAGTCTCCTTTCCACCTTTTCCTGCTCTTCCTTACCTCCTGTTGTTGAAAAACCTGTTTTATAGCACTTAATAGCTGCAATTTATACTCAAGTTCAAGTCAAAGCATTCACCTATGAATTACTCAGGTTTCGGTGGGAGACAGCATGCCTAAAAGGAAGGTATTTGGGCAGTGTTTTTATTTTTAACTTCTGTATGTCCTAATGCTCTGCAAATTCCTTGTAGGGTATTAAATGTTTGTAATATGGGAAAACAAAATATGAATCATTTAAAAATAAGAAACATATAACTAAAAAAAAAGAAGAAGTGCATTAGAAGCAATTTACATTTTCCCTGTTGTATAGGGTTTTAAGTTAAAAACAGACCCTCTGATTTATGTTTTGCAAACACATTATAAAGTGGCAGTGTAGTTGCAGTTTTAGGCAACCTTTTAAAACATTTCTTCTGACACTTACACTGCTTATGTTTGTCATTTTCATCAAGTCATGATCTGTATTTCCAGACAGACATGCAAATGGGGATATGCCACTTCTTCCTTCTGAGTTTGACATCAGATGATCCACCAGTCCTGAGTCCATGCACTCCTTGCCTGAAAAGCCTGATGGGATACATTTCATGATTGCATCAATCAGTTCAATGCTTAATATACTGAAATAGAATAGAATATATAGAAACTACAATTACACTCTAAATGACATTTGCAGAAACCTGCACCGTTTTATTGCTAAGTACAACCAGCACCAACCTAATCTAAGAGATACAATAGCTATAAGGCTAGCAAAATCCAACCAGACATCAGATTTGATATTGGCAAGGCTAGTCCTCCAAAAGGTGCCTGTTCCTTTCTGTATGCCAATGCAAAAATATAATGTGCTGTGAAAGCCTTTGTATGAACTTCACTGTGCTCAGAAAAACTACCTATAAGGGGAGATACTACAACAAATCTAAGAGACATTTGTCCTATTGATAACAAGGCAAATATTAAATTCTGTGAAACTATTTTAACCTTGGCCAGCCTGAGATGTCAAATCATTTTGTAATGAAATTGCAATGGCTCTCTATGTAGACCCTTGTGCTATGTGCTAAAACCTTTTAGTAAAAAAGCTTCCTAATTGGGGAGCTTATCATCAGGATAAAAGACCATGTGCCTTGTGCCATGAGTTATTAGCAATTAGGGAGCTTTTCTGCTGCCAGGGAGGCAGGGAATGCATTGCTGCTAGTGAAATTCTGGACTTGTTAAAAAGAGGTTTTATAGATCTACATTTAGCAAGAGTATCTGGAGACATCCAAGTAATGTCATTTAGCATGTCTCATTTACCATATTTGGTCTACTACTCGTCCTGGAAGCTTTTTACTAATAAGGAAGTGACTACATATTTTCTCACATGGGAGTCAGGTAGGTACATTCGGGATAAATCTTTATAGCAAACAGTGAAGCATCAGCGTAATGAAGTACAACATACTTCTCTAATACATTTTTGTATATTTTTATTTATTAATTCATTTTTTATTCAATATTTTTATTTTTTACTTTACTTTTAGGGGCTTTGAGGAAATATTAGGGGTCTAAACAGACCCCTGATATTTCCCTTTTAAAATAGAAAAAGAGATTGAGGACAAAAAAGTCCTCAATCTCTTTTTCTGCAGCCCCAGTTATCAATGAACAGGAATCCTGAGTGTCCCTGTTCATTAATAACATGAGGACATTGTGTGTTTACTATAACACAATCATGAATGAACAGGAGGTGATGTAGGTCACTTCCTATTCATTCATAAATGAGGATATAGTCAACATGCTATGTCCTCAATTATCTACAAACACTCAGCAATCACTGATCGCTGAGTGTTTGCACTTGCTGTCCTTCCTGACCGCTGTCACAAGAGGCTGAGCGAGCAGAGCAGGGAGGAGAGCTCAGCCTCCTGTGACAGCGCGGGCTGTCTCCGCCCCCACACCACTCTGATGGACTGTGATAGGAGGCTGAGCGGTGTGATAGAGGAGACGCCAGCCGCTCACAGCGCTCTCCTCCCGCAGCGCTTGGCCGGCTGTCACACTTTCTTTCCTCCCCGCTGGGACACAGAGCAGCGCCCAGCAGAGAGGAAAGAAAGCAGGGATGCGCCAATGTAGTGGCACTAGGGGGGCACTTTTCACCCAAAAAAATGGGCTGAAAATCTCGGCTTATACTCGAGTATATACGGTATATATATTTATGGCAGTGCGTGGCAATGCCATACAAGATGCTGGCTTTTTCTGTTACAAGAGAAATAAAAGACTGTTCTTTTTATGTTAAAACGGCTTCAAGACTGGTCCTTAAGCGCTCACCATATGTGCTCAATTTCCCAAATATATATATTAGGGATGCACCGAAATTAGGGATGCACCGGGAGGAGAGCGCAGTGAGCTGCCAGTGTCTCTCCTTCCCGCACCGCTCAGCCTCCTGTCACAGATCACGAGAACGGTGGGGTGGGCAGAGACACCTGCCATTGCTGTCACAGGAGGCTGAGCTCTCCTCCCACATGGCTCAGCTTCCTGTGTCAGGGTGGAGAGCGGTATACAAACACTCAGCAATCAGTGATCACTGAGTGTTTGTAAATAATTGAGGACATATTATGTTTACTGTGTCCCCAATTATGAAAGAATGTGGAACTCCCCTTAATAGTGGTATCAGAAGGAAGTATTGACAAATTCAAAAACTTCTAGATGTCTTCCGCACTGAGCACAAAATACAGAGACAGGTATACTCTTAAAAAACATACTGAGAGAGAGACACACACACGTACACGAACGTAGGACTGGATGGTCCTGTGTCTTTTTCCAACCGTATCTACTATGTAACTATATGTAATATTGTTTATATGCACAATGTCAAAAAAATCATGGTTAAACATTCTCCTGGCATTTGCTGACTGCCAAATGTAGTACACTGTAAATACACCACATGTATGACGTGAATGTGCTATAAAAATAATTCCTTGTAATGCTGACATATGCCCTACTGATTCATCTGAAGTGTGGATTTTCCTGACGAGTCCACTTTAAAGACTATATTGAATGTATTGTAGCTACTGCTACCCATAAAGAATGTATTAAAGCAATTCAGATATCTTCAAACAATACAACCCCCTTCAGTTATAGAGGGGCAGTCTGTCAGGTTGTGAGTGAAAATATGTTTAAATAGATATGTATATATGCAGCTACGCTGGAATAGATGGCACAAGCCATATTGTGGATGTTCATCTAAAACACATGTGCTGTCACAAATGTCTTTGTTTGACCGTGAGAACTCATAAACATTCAATTTCTTTTGCATCTGATCTAATTTTCCTTCCCATACAAGCTCATGTGAATGCAAGAGAACATTTAAGAAACTGCAGGCAACTTGAAAGAACTCCTAGAACAAATGAAATGCAAATCAAAGCAACTCAAACTTCAAACCTAAAAGCATTTTTCATTTGGCTTATGCACGTGTCTAAGGCCCATCTATTCAAGTCCTATGTTGACCATACACATGAACAAATGCAAATATATTTTTATCTACAAAAACTATCCTGTCTGATTATATGCCAGTCAATTTGATGGGTATTATTTCCACCATATAAACGTGTAGTGTAAATATCATTGTACAAGGTGTGGTCAAAAAATACGGTGAATGTTTAAATGAAAAAAATGTAATTGCAGTAAAAAACACATTGCCATGAATCCTCCTCAAAATACTCTTCCTCACTTTGAACACACTTATCCCATCGTTCTTGCCACTTTCTGAAGCAGTTTTGGAAGTCCTTTTCCGTGAGTGTCTTTAGTTGCACTGTCATGGCTGCCTCGATATCCTGAACTGATTCAAAACGTTTACCTTTCATGGTCATTTTGATCTTGGAGAAGAGCCAGAAGTCGCACAGTGCAAGATCCAGTAAATAAGGTGGATGAGGACACACTGTAATGTTTTTATTTAACAGAATTTGTTGTACCAGAAGTGATTTGTGACACGGAACGTTGTCATGATGGAGGCTGAAACCATTTGCTCATTTCTCATGCTGTTTTCTATCATAAGAGATGTTCAGATCCTCAGAAAAATCCCTAATAGTAAATCGCCTGTTTGATCAAATCATTTTGCTTACTCTTTCAACATTCTCTTGGGTTTTTGATGTTGAAGGATGTCTCCATCTCTTCTCGTCTTCAACCGATTCACAAACATTACGAAATTGCTCCAACCACTTGTAAACCGTCTTTATGGTCACTGCAGCATCACCATAAACTAATTTTAACATTTTGTGTGTTTCTTTAGCACTTTTTTGCAGTTTGAAACACAATTTCCTGTTAATGCGTTGTTCATGATGCATGATTTACGGCACAATAAAAAACACACCTTCTTTCAACCGTAGCGCACAACTGACTTCATTGAACAAGTTGAAACTTGTCACACACTGTTACTAAGGTTTGACACACTGCATCTCATATTGAAGATCCGTGCCTTTACGTTGACTGGCACTCCCAGCAGCATTCACTGTATTTTATGATCATACGTCGTATACGGCCACCATCATTTTCCAAATCGAACAGTATTTTCAAATATTATTACAGTATATAAATACCATAGCTAAAGAAGATCTATCATTACACATACCGATTTGTGTGAGAGGTAGCTGATATTCTTTCTCCATATCTGCCAGCTTGGAGGCTGTAAGAATGCAGTGACCAAAGACTGTTGCAACATCCTTGTTATATTCCTTAACAACATCAGCAAAGTCTTTAGGTAGCTCTTCTAGATGGATCTGTACAAAAATATACATATTTGTCAATTTGTTACTTCTTTTTTTATTAATGCTATAAAATATTATCATACAACAACAGGACACAAAAGGACACATGTAAACAATGCATCTGTAACGCAACAGCAAATATCCGTTGGGAAAGGGATCTCAGCTGCGGAGATCGAGCTTCGTCAACAGTTCTGGTTACCGTTAAAATAAGTGATGCTCCCCCCAGGTAAATTTAATGATGGCGGTTCAGGGTTCAGTTAAACAATATATGACACTATAGGGAGTGAGAGCGATTGTTTAAACTGCAATACATCATACACAAGGAAGAGCACTTCTCGCCACTGCATTACCTCATGCAACAGAGTAGTGTCTATCAAATGATAATGGCCGTACAACCTGATTGACCAGGGAACATATGCGTGGTCATATAGACTGGGACCAATTTGATCTGTAGGTCGGACCCTATTCTACAAGAAGGTTCTGTATCCTGCAGGTTGTAGTAGCCATTTGGAAACTCAAGGTACACAATTAATATGCAGCATGCAGCTGTTGCGTCACAGCATACCAACAACCACTTGAATAGTCCCTTACTGTGATGGTTAGGGTTTTGCATCAACAGACAAGAGATAATTGAGTATTGCCTGCAGAACTGGTTTCCAATAACCCACGGTTATATGGACAAATGAGAGTAGTAGTTCTCATAAATTGCTTTCCATACAATTACACTGTGAAAGTAGGGTACTTGCGGTTAGTGGTTTTAGAGTCTGTAAGGCACTTTCCAGGACCCAGGCAACTGGAGCTGACACCTGCGCCAGAAGAATCCTCTGCTGAAGTTGTGGTATGCTATCCTAGCATACGAGTTGGTTGCAGGAGGTAGCAGCGTTTCCAGCATGGGGAAGGAGCAATAACGGTGGGGATCGATTGCTCCAGCGTCCACAACACTAGGATGCTGAGCAATTGAATTCCCCGCCGTTTTAAGTGACAGCCGTACGTGAGAGGGGAGAAGCGGAGCGTAGACGCCGGCGTGACAGCGCCGGAGCGACCTGACGCCGATGGAGTGGGCGGAGCGGACACCCGCGCTGGAAAGGGGAACGGTAAGTCTGTTACAGCATTCACTTGGTAATTACACCACATTACTAAACAACATGCACATTTGTAGAAATAGTCATATAATTGCTTTATGCAGGCAACAGATGACGAGGGAGCAGCTTTCTGGCCAATCAGCAAGCCGGGGGGCGGGTAATGACTCGCCGCCTGTCTTCCTAATTGGCCAGCTTCCTAGTCAATCAGGAAGCCAGGGTGTGAGTAATTACCCACCCCCCAGCTTCCTGATTAGCTTGGAAGCCAGCTCCATGCTCCCAGGTGACGAGGGAGCATGGAGTCAGCTTCCCAGCCAATCAGGAAGCAGGGCAACGTGTAATGACTCACCTCCCATCGGGATAGGCATCAGGCATTCGCCCAAATATTCTGTATCAGCACCAATACTTGTATCGGTATCTGTGCATCCCGAATAATTAGTTTCCCATATGGAAATTGCTTTGATAGTATATATGACTTTGTTACTGAAAAAAGTGACTGTTTTAGTTCTGTTGATTATTATTGAACAAATCATACATTTTGGGTAGTATGCCAACAGACCGCACTGTACCTCTATGAATAAGCCTACGGGTGAAACATGTGAGAGGTTGTAGCTGGGAGTGTGCAGTTCTGGTTTTTGTTGCTTTATTCAATTTTATTCACTGGTATTCTGGATTTGCTGTGAATTTCAATAAAGTATTGGAATTCTCTGGATAGTGCGGTCTGTTCTCATACTACTACATTCCAAGGTGAAGACGCACCTATTAAACCAGCACCTGGGGAGTCCTGATGGCAGCTAAGGAATTGGAGCAGTGAGATTTCCTTTGACTCTACATACATTTTGGGTGCTTGCACCTGTAACTTCCAACTAGAGTTTCACAGTGGAGATTCAGTTGTTTTGGGGTGGTTTCTTTCGTGGATGTTTTTAGTCTACAAAAAGCAATATATTTCTTTAAGGTTTTTGATATCCTAGAGGCACAGCAGAGCTTGTCTGGCAAGTGTTGTTTCAGATTGTAGTCACTGGTACATCACTTCAACAACATTGAAGGTACTCTCACATATATATGTCATACAAATCCAAATATAATTGATTTAGTAAATTTACAACTTTACAATATGATCTGTTCATTGTTTCCAGGACCTTTTTCAAAAAAGTACATGCTAGCAGTTATATCTGATATCTTATATCAGTTATTATAGAAATTAAAAGCAAGGTAGTGCATTTGGATTTTTTTTGAAAATGTTATACCCTGATGGGTTTCATTAGATAATAGAATTAGTCTACTAATCACATAGGGCTCTTCACTATGTATAGCCCTGATTCTACTGCTCACAATTGGACATTTCTGCCTGTTTATCCCACCAGAGCAGTTACAGATGGCACTGGAATGCATCGCCATCATCCGGGACATGAGCAGTGCTGTTGGAATGCACGTCAGTCATCTTTTGCAGCAACGCAAGTGGCCTGCCCCTTCGCACAGATCCCTGCTGCTGCTAGTTCACCACAAAGCAGGCATGGACTAAGTACTCATGGATCCCAAAAAGGCATGTTTTCTTCAACAGATTATTCCTAGCAATGGTCATATTTAACTATCAGCTGGGCAGGTTTTAAGTCTCATAAGGACATGCATGGCTATATTTAAAACCACGATTGTTCCCCAGAAGGGGATTCCACCATTGTTACAAAGTGTAAGACAAATTGTCGTAAAAGTGTATTTATTTCTAAATATTTTAAAATGCATACGTATCAAAAGACAAACAGATTTAAATACACACAAAAATGAATTAAACTCTGTACACTAAATGTGAAGGATGTACGGTATAGTAACTTATAACACATAACTATAGAACATATGAATTTTTATCACCTACGATGTCGTCTATGTCATCTTGACTTTTCGGTAATAACAGCATTTTTGTTTTGTACATATACTTATACGTATATATATATTACTATTTTAGCACCTAATATATTTCCGGTTTAAAGAATGCGCCCTGTGGGGACACACACAGGAACGCAGTGTTCTCAACTGTTTCCAATCAAAGAGATTGCTCTTAGCACTTAAATAGGGTAATTAGAACCCTTGCCAAACTACGCCCTTCTGACGAAGCCCCGGTGGGGGGTGAAACGCGTCATAGGCGTGGGCTAGGTGTTTTTTGTTTGACTGCCTCGGCCAAGGCCGCCCTGGTTATTTGCTTCATTCCAATTCGTGGTCCTACGTTATACAGTATATTCTGCTGGAGCACTTCAGAGCTCAAAGCTAGAGAAAAGTCACTCTCTGAACAGTACTCATTTATTGATGTATTCAGGAGCAGAACCAAATTCAGACATCATTGATCCAGCCAAAAGAGGATTTCCTTTGATCTGGACACAGCCATCAAACGAACCAGAGCATATGTTCAGTAAAGGCTAAACATCTACAGTGGATAAGAAAAGCCGAGATAAGGTTATTTGTCTCCTGAACCTATTGTGTTTACAGCTGGTCTGCGTTATGTCAAGGGGCAAAACCACTTCGGTCTTCTGATCTACATCCGTGAGTGAAAAACTTCACTGGGCAGAACATAAAGCCATACATCATAGATCCAACTAGGAGGATCTACTTCCTTTTCTTCTGCTACGGATACAGCCACCATACGACCCAGAGCATATATTCAGTAAAGGCCAACTTCTACAGCGAAAAAGAAAAGCTGAGATATGGATAAATATCTCCTGAACCACTCGCAATTACAGCTGGGTCTCTTTATATCAGTGGCAAAATTACTCCGGTCTCCTGATCCATGAGTGGAAAATACATCACTGTGAGTGCAACCTATATATTTTTCTAATCAAATGAAGCATTTTTGACTTTCTTTTTAATTCCTTTTTTCATACACGTGTATGTTAACCCTTCATTTGATCCAGGAGACTGACATCCTTTTCCATTTGTGAAGCTCTAGATATAAGGATACTCTCCTGACATTAAGCATAACGTTAAACATATACTGAGGCACCCCAGGGCGTACCTTATACTATTTATATATGTATATCCACATGCACTTTATCAATAATTAGCCGAAAGCAGTCATATATGTGATAAATACATGTTTGTTTGTCTTTTGATACATATGCATTTTAAAATATTTAGGAATAAATACACTTTTACGACAATTTGTCTTACACTTTGTAACAATGGTGGGATCCCCTTCTGGGGAACAATCGTGGTTTTGCTATTAATTACAATAGGGGGCCCTACAATAGGGGATCCATTGAGTTAAATGATTTTTGCTATTCATTATATACTTTATAAACCTTCCTTCCTCGTTTGTATGCCATGGCTATATTTACTATACAGCCTTGGTTCTCAACTGGTGGGTCGTGACCCAAAAGTGGGTCGCGAGCCCGTGTTCAGTGGGTTCCCACATGCCTTCCACTTTTCTAGGTAAGAGGCTCCTCTGCTTCCCCCTAGCGCAGCACTGTCAGTTCTCGTGCCAGGTAGCCATTCAAAATATGCTGCCCGGCGCCGAGTGTCAGCTTGAGGTAGGATGGGATGGGGCTATGGCCGCGAGGGGAGCTCCATCCATACATGCATTGCTTACAGCTCCCTCGCATGTCCTGTAGAGGGGCCTGGACTGGAGTGACATCACATTCTGGCTCCTGACAACTCTACAGGGCATGCAAGGGAGCTGTACAAGCAATGCACATATAGATGGAGCTCTGTCACAGCACAGCAGCCCACACTGAACTCCAGGCTGAGGATCCACTGCAGTTCTTGTAAGGTAAGGAGACTGGGTGGACCTTAAAGGAGAACTATGGGGTTAGGGCTTTTCCCCATAGTTCACCGAAGGGTGACGGGAGGACACAAACTAGCGTCCTCCCGTCACCCTAAGCTCAGTATACCCCGAGCTACAGCTCGGGGTATACTTAGACGCCGCAGTATACCGCGAGCTACAGCTTGCGGTTTACTGAGACGTTGCAGCTGAAGCGGATCCCGCCAATTATGTCTGGATCCGCCCAGCTGCATGAGTGATAGCTGGCTCTGCCTATCTAGAGGCAGAGCCAGCTGTACCCGCCCCCTCCCCCTTCCGTTCCGCCAGTCAGCGCTGTAGGATCAGAGCGGGGAGGGGGGAATCCAGCCCCTCCCCTGTCACGGCAGAGAGCCGTGACAGGATCGAGAAGTGAGCGAACGCCGACATGTGTTCGCTCACTTCCCGATCTACTGAGCCGACCTGTGACAGTCTCATTGTCACAGGTCGGCTAGAACTATGAGGTCAGTGAAAAGCACTCACCTCATAGTTCTCCTTCTGGAGAAATATTCGTTGCAGCAAAGTGACATTAGACAAAAGAAAAAAAATTACTTTTTTTTTTTTTTTTTACAGTCTGCAGAAGAGAAATAAAAAAGCGTGATTTTCCCCCTTAATTGATACCAGACCCTTTATGCCTGGTAGGAATGTTAGGAGGGACCCCCCCAAGTTAAAAAAAGGGGGACGTGGGGTTCCCCTCCAAAGTCATACCAGACCCTTTAGGGTGTAACATCATCGTCTCCTACCGGGCCAGTGCTTGGATCAGGGGCTGGTAGGAATTTTAGGGGTGACCTCACTTTTTTCCCCCCGTTTTGGGGGGGTGGGGTTCCCCCTTAAAATTCTTCCGAAATTTTAGTTATCTGTAATTCTGATTCGTTTTCATTAGTCATTTCTGTAATTAGGAGATTCAGATATATCCGAATCTCCGAAAATGTATCCGAATACTGAATCTTCCTAAAATGAATCGCACATGTCTAATTCTTTTAGTGTAAACTGAGTGAATACATAGTCTATGAGTAACAGCAGACTTTATTAGACACCATTCCCTAAAATATCTAAACAAATATTAGCCGGCCTGGCTGTCTTAATCAACAGACCTGTTTCTCCAATATAACAGTGAAAATCCAGATAGATTCAACAGGTTGACACACTGCTCCTTCACGGTCACGCAGTGAAGAAGATAAACGCTGGATGACAGTAAAAAGAATCCAGCCGCACACGATTTGTCACGCTGGAAAACTTCTTTCACACTTGCACAGCTCGGCTCAGTTCTGCCCTTGGTCCGACCCACTAACACATTTTGCTCTATCCAGGGCTTAGTCGTAGACTGTGTAAGTCCTGTATAAGGCCAAATTTGTTAGAGGGGCTCACCAAGGGCAGGACTGAGCCAAGCTGTGCAAGTCTAAATAAAGGAGGATTTTAGTGTGACAAGTGGTATGTGGCTGGATTCTTTTTTTACTGTGGAGGTGTGAAAATACAGGTGTCTGATAAGAATACAGTCATTGCAACCTGCTGTTATGTCTCTGACTGCAACAGGCCAATGCACTTTTAAGCAGTCAATTTGTTTTCTATATATCAGACAATACCTGTGTTTCTGGAAAAGTCTTTCATTGCCTCAATCTATAGACAGCAGCTCTGCTAAATATTACAGATTTCCTTACCCTTGACTGATGAAATGTATCCTCAGGTGAACGCCTACTTGGTGGTAAATATGATCTTGCAAATAAATTTGCCAGTATCAGAACCAACGTTTTCATTACAGAGTCTGGAAATTTTGTTGGGTCTACATGATAAAAAAAGGGACACATAAATGTCATGTTCTAGCTATATATTAGTAAACTTTTTTTTCTAAACTACTTCTACTATATTCAATCATGCATTTATTAAAAACATAGTCAGTGGTTCACTAATTGCCAATGCTAATTTAAATAGTTTAATTAGTATTTGTATGTATAACACTTTTTTAGCAACCTGAGGTAATCTCTCCTGAAAACAACAAGAGCAAAAGTAAACAAAAAGCAAGAGTAAAATAAATCGAGATGTGACAGATTTACTGTTTTGTCAGATCTGTTTATGGGTAAAGATTAAGAGAGCATATGAGTAGGTTTTTTCCGATTTTGATAGAAGGCCCAGCACTAGCTTGCTTAATAAAACATGTGCAGGGGGATAATTTTTTTCATGAGATTTAATGGCATAACAATGGATAAATATATAAACTAAACCTCCCACTTACCTAAATCTGTTAACACACTCTAAGCTCCTGTATCAAAAATTACACATATTGCCACAAAAATAGAGCCAGAAAAATACAGTGGTCTAACTAAATATTATCTAAGCATACAAACAAAATCTATATATTCTAATACAAACAGATTGTGATTTTCTCTTTTATTGTCCTTAATGAACTCAGTAATGGCAGAAACAGCTCATAGAGCAGTATTATTCCTTGTTTAAATAAATTAATATCTCCCCATACAGAATGCACATATAGCAGTTATATCCTAATTTATTTAAATACAGAATATGTCATTTACAAATTATAACATATGCCATTTAGGTTATTTTTTACTGGTGGAGCAACTAATAAGGGACAGAAGAAGGGGATATGGGCCTGGCTATGGATACGATATACAAAAATGCACATAAACATCTTCTAGAGATTGAGGCCCTGTGATCTGGTGAGTTCTGATTTTACCAGGTTGCTAGAAAAGTATTCAGCACTAGTGTGGAGATTTTATATACAATGAGGGAGATCACAACCTGTTTGTTTTCCACAGTGGATAGATTGTACTGAGAGTTTATATTAATCACATTATTCTACTGGTATTCTTTAAAGTGACACTAAAGAGTAAAATCTTAAAAATGCATTCAACTACCTTATTATGGGGTGATCTATTGTAAATTATACATTTTATACTATACTGTGTGTATATATATATACAGTATATATGTATGTATATATATATATATATATATATC